CCCCACCTCCCGCCACTGTGCAGCGCTCTGTCTACCTGCACCTCAGCCGGCTCCGGTCCCACTGCGGGGCATGCAGTTGCTCAGTGCAGGCCCACTAAAGACAGGATTATAGAAACTTTTTGGCTTCCTCTTGTCCCTCAGTGTTGAAAACAGGGCTAGACAACATGAGTACTCAGGTTGGATGGGCTCTGGCTTTGTCGCCCAGTGTCGGTGTCTGAGGCCAGGAAGAGTCAATTTGCAGAAACCAAGAACTGGGCCCCTGGACTGTGACTCCGCCCCTGCAGCCCCTCCCTTCCTCCCGGGGGCATCTGACTTCCTGCGAGGCAGGTGGGGATGGTCCCGGATGTGCTCCTCTCTCGGGATCCCGCCTTCAGGACAATGAGCCTTGTTTCCCCCCTTCAGTCCAGCTTTCCATTTGTGTCACTTAGTGGAGGCACCTCGTAGGAGCTGCAGAAAGTGCCTGGCATGCCTGTCACCTCCCCGTAAAGAGTGGGCATTGTGACCAAAGGCAACGACGAGAGAAAACCTTGTACTGAGGGAGGGAGGGGAATGATGAGGGGATTCTGAGGGAAGTTGCTACGTCTGGACCCCTGGGACAGAGGTTTGTAATCTTAAGGGTGAATAGTTCTCTCTCACCCATTTCTCTTAGCCTTGGATATACCCAATTATATAAAAGAATACGCAAGTTCTAAACGAATATGGGGCCCAGAGTCCCTCTTGGGTTTGATGGTTTGACGTGAGTAAGCCCAGCCTTATTGTTTCAGGAGTAACCTTCTCAATAGAGTCATCACCAGGGCGTGTGACGTGACGCTCTGGAGCCCTGTGGTAGAGAAGTCACTGTACGCTCCTGGGGCAGTAGTTCTCAGCCAGGGGCAACTGCCCCTCTGCCCCCAGAGACATCTGGCCACGTCTGCGGGCAGTTTGGGCTGTGACAGGTCGGGGGCTACAGGCATCTAGTGGGCAGAGACCAGCTGCTGCTAATGCTGCAGTGCACAGGACAGCCCCACCGCGAGAATCACCCAGCCCCAAATGTATGGGCTGGACAGCCCTGCCGCAGGGCTAAGTCAGGGTTACACTACACCCCCTTGAGGACAGGACCCAGGTCCTGTCCGCCTTTCTGAGCACAGCCGAGGAGAGGGCAGGGCCAAGTTAAACGACTCTGTCCCAGTCGTTCCAATCTGGTTCAGTCTCAGATCCTCCTCTCAGTCCATGCACTTTCTCTCCCAGAGCATTTCCTTAACGTTACTTTTCTCCTGGCAACGTTTTCCAACTCCGCTGTTCCCGATAACTTCCAGAGAAAACCCTGAGGGAACCACGCCTCATTGCAAACATGCCTCGGAGACAGTGTGTGCAAATAATCGAGTCCAAACCGCTCCAGGCTCTCACTGAGCAACAGGCTCACCCACACACCTGCAACCCACACACACCTGCAACCCTGTCTGAGGCCGCCGGTGTGAGAGGGCCTCGCAAATGCAGTGCCCTGGTTTGGGGCTTCGCTCCTGTGGGGCTGCCTCCTCATTGCTCCTTGGTAACAGCCCCGTTTGCTGCCTGCATCCTTTGGAAGTGAGAGGGAGGGGAGAATGCTGGCCACGTTTCTATAATCAGCCTCCAAATGAACAGGTTTGCCTTGGACTGCCGTTGAGTCCCACTCCAAGGAGAGAGCTGGGCCCAGCTGGGCTCCTGCCAGCAGCAGCTCTGGGTGAGCCGGGCAGTGCGGGCAGTGGCAGCGCTGCATTTGGGTCTTGATCTTGACTCCCTAAAGGCTGGGACTCGGTCTGTGGGCTGCTCCCTTCACCACCTGGGCGGTCTACTGAAGCACCCCGCTACACCCACGACGGCACCCCCAACTCTACAAGCGCCAGCTTAGACCTGAGCCAGTCTAAGAAGATGGCTAATTACTCCCCATGCCACAGCGTATCGTTACAAGTGGGGGTGACTTTGGGATGCCAGCCTCAAGTTCCTGCGTGGCTTCTTCTCATCCTCTGTAACTGCCCTCAAACACTGTCCCTGCAACGTAAAGTCAGGATGGGAGGTGTTAGTGTCCACTCAGGATCAGGTCACCAGCCCTGGAAGGGGTCAGCTCACCAGGCCCGCCTGGGAGTCTACGGCCGAGGAATCCAGGGCCAATGAGGGACATAGTTTGCCCACATCATACAGTCGGGAGGAAACAAAGCGAGTTCTTGAACCTCCGTCTCCTGACCACAGGGGAGTATTTGTCACCCTGGCCCCTGTGACGTGTATAGACGAGACCGGAGAAGAGAGCCGATTGTTATCTCAAATCACAAGCCACGTCCACCCGGTCTACGTGGGCAAGTCCCTTCTCTGCAGGCAGGGTCCTCAGTTTTGTTTAAGAGACGAAGAATTTCTATTTAACCTTTGACACTATATACCAGTGATGGCGAACCTATGACACGCGTGTCAGAGGTGACACGTGAACTCATTTTTTTGGTTGATTTTTCTTTGTTAAATGACATTTAAATATATAAAATAAATATAAAAAATATATCTTTGTTTTACTATGGTTGCAAAGATCAAAACATTTCTATATGTGTCACGGCACCAGAGTTAAGTTAGGGTTTTTCAAAATGCTGACACGCCGAGCTCAAAAGGTTCACCATCACTGCTATATACTCTGTTTAGAAGAACAGGAAAAGAGATGGTTATATCCGGTTAGATCCCAGAGGGAGAATTCTGCACACCTGAGGCTTTTAAGGAGCTCTCTTGTCACATCACGTACATTCTCAATTTTCAGGAAGGTCTGTGGTTCACAGATTCCGTTTTCAGGCCAGAAAAGGGAGGGAAGATAAATTTGTGGGCAGTTCTTGATTAAGCAACTGACAGAGAAGGGCATGCTAGTGACCAGAGGTTGGGTGATTCAGAAGGGCATGCTTCTAAAGCTTTCTGACTAAGGCTTTGAAATACAATCTTCATATGTTTAACTAAGCTTAGTGGGTGATATTTATAATCTCACACAATAAGAAAGGAACAAAAAAGGCGGACCCGGTGAGGCACGGAGAGCTGATTTTCTGGCACGTGGGTTAATGGGAACGTCTCGAAATATGAACACCTGGCCCAGTTCAGCCACCGGTGATGTACAAGAGGGAAACGTGGTCCTTCCACGCACCTCCCTGACCACTTGAGGCTCCCAAGGTGGGAAAGCTCAAGCATCTGCAGGGAGAGAGTAGACTTGGAGGTTTGAGGAAGGGCATGGGCCCCAGGAGTGCTGCCTGACCCCCTTTTCCCAGACCCCTAGCCTCCTGCAGTGTTGATGGAGGTGCCGAGCAAGTAAAGATGGTACGTGTCCTTCTGGGGAGTTATGGGTCTGGGTTTGAAAGGGAGAGCGGGGCTTTCATAGCAGGAGGAATAAAGCAAACCATAGGTTTCCTTCAGGAGCCGCTGTGTGCCGGTGCCTAAGCAGCTTCCGGGGGAGGAGGCCGAAAGGCAGTGATGCAGGCGCTTCCCTGCACTGGACCACGAGCGGCTGTGCCCACGGATGCGCCTCCTCCCAGAGGAGACCCTGGACATTGGTGGTGCTGGTGGCCAACCACCCAGCAAGGCTGGGGACGGGCCTTGGGGCTGAGAAAGCCTGGAAGGAGACGTGAGCAGTGTGATCACAAAAAAGGGGGCTACCATGTGCCTCAGGAGAAGGGGTGGGTCTCCAGAGCAGAGAGGTCCCGGAGCATTCTCTCTCTCCCAGCTGTGGGAGACTCCCAGACTGAACGAGGGCTCTGGTCTGTGTGCCCGGAGGCCCTGGCGTGCTCCCTACAAAGGCTCAGGGGAGTCAGGAGCACGAAGGGAGATCTCAGTGAACCTCCCCCCCCCCACTAGCTCCTCATGAACCCTGGTTCCTTTGGCGGCCAGAGTGCTCGTAACCCACCCAAGGGCATTGGGACAAAGCCTGAGGGGGGGAGAGCAAAGGATGTCTTGGCACCACACGCCCCCCACGCCCTGCATGTCCTCACCTTGTTGGAAGGAGATGTACACCAGCCTCTCATCAAACTTCTGCACCCGCCGAAAGTTGTTGACCATTCCCCTGGGGGATGGGTCGTTCTCATGTGTGCAGTACAGAGCTGTCTCCAGAGCCAGCAGCTGTGGGAGAGGAGCACACACCCTCAGGCAGAGTGAGGGCTCCCTGGCCTGACCTCAGGAGGGGGGGACTGCCCTTCCCCCCACACAGAGAATGTGGGGGGTGCTTTGGCAGAGCCTCAGTAGAGAAAGGAGGGAAGGCCAGAGAACGGCCCCTCCCCTGCGGGCCTCTGGGTGACAGGCACGGGGTAAGGTGGCTATCTGCCCACCTCCCCAGGCTTGGGAAGGTTAGTGCAGTTGCCTCCAGGTAGTACCCTCCGTCTGTGTGCAGGGAGGGAAGCCTGGGGTGCTGGAGGGGCTCCGCTCCCCTGAGCCTGATTTGGGACTGGACTCTAAGTCAGAGGGGCTGGGGCTTATTCTGATGGGGCTTCCTCCCATCAGAAGGAAGGGAAAGAGGAGGCAAGAGTTGCTCAGGTCATCTGATTGCCAGTCCCATGGGTTTTCATCTGCCCACATGGATTACAGAGTCTGTTTGCAAGGCAGTTTCCGGGTAGGATGTGACTGCTTCCCCACACGTTTCTCCCCTTGATTCACCATATCTTTATTCCTGTCTGCCTACTTGCTGCCTTTATCTAGGTTACTCAGATCGGTAGCTCATAGGACAAAAGGAGTCACTCTGCGGGGGTGACGGTGGGCTGGCCCATGAGCCCCGGCTCCTGGCCGCTTCCTTCTTGAAGTGAGGCTGCGGCGTAGAGGGCCGGGCAGTGGCCTGGAACTCTTGGCTCTGTCACTAGCCAGCGGTGATCCCGCAATCTCCTCAGATCTAACCCTCACCTTCATCCCCTGTACAATGAGAGGGGCTGAGATGACTGCCAGGCTTCTGGCCCTCCTCGCACTAGACTGTGAGCTTGAGGGCGGAGACCTTCACTCCCTCATGGCAGCAGCCCTAGCTCCCCGGTTCCTGAACCGATTCAACCTGACCCTGCCTTTATTCCCACCCACCCCACC